TGCACTTGGTAGGCAGATATTCTGCCACTGAGCTCCATGTACTTCCAGCCCTTTCTTAAATTTTTACGTTGAGATAAATCTCATTAAGTAGCCCAGGCTGGCCTCAAATTTGCACTCTCCCTTTTTCCTCCTCCAAACAGCTGGGCTTGATAGGCATAGTGGGATCAGCTACCACACCTAGCATTCTGTAACACGAAGATCTCTGCTCTTGCCTTGGGGCTGGTCTTAGTAGTGTGTCTTTTATTCTTAACTCTCTCCACTCCAACAGAAGCCAGCCCTAAAAGCACATATAAATAATGTGGGCACGTTGGAGTGGGGGGTGTTAAAATACTGGAAAGGGTGGCATCCATCTCACCCAGCAAACTTTTCTCTAAATCTCCTTTAAATGTTTCCTTATCTTCCCCCTGAAAACTCCACAAATGCCTCCATGTGGTTCTCCACATCTCTGCATGTAGTACAAGAGAAACAGATTCCCAGCAAAAATCTAGTTCCTGGCCAGATTCTCCCTTTACCCCTTATACATGCCTCCTGTTTGGGAATGGGGTTATGGGAGAGTTTGGGGGTGGCTTCTCCACCACGTGTATATATAAAATCCAAAAAGACAAAGAGCAATCGGGGAAATATTCATTAATCCAAAAAATGAATTCCTCTTAATACTGGGCATGCAGTTACGGGCTGTGGATTGACAATGTTTTATTTCAGGATATGTGTGTTTGAAATTTAGAGCAAGGGACCATAAATAAACATTCGGGAACATTTTGGAATCCCCTGGTGGATACCATGAGGGTGGCGTGGAGGCCAAATTCCACCTGTGACTCAGGCCTCGTGGGTGACAGGAAGGTACCAGTTGGCCTGAAGAGCCACCACAGGAGAAACGGGCCATGTGCTTATCTTGGTGGTGGCTTTTTGGCAGAAGTTACTTTTTGTTCTTTCACGTTCAACTCTGCACCTACTTCCTGGTGACCAACCACTAGAGAAAGCTAAGGTGGAGTACACTTCTGGCTCTCTGCCCTGCTTCCTGAACCACGTGAGAGCATTTACAGCACAGTGACACCAAAGAGCAGGTTCCTGGAAAAAGACAGGGTTTCTGTAATGGTCCTTCTCTGTGGACCCCTGGAGAAAAGAGGTATAAAATGCCAAGAAGCACGTGGGAGAGTTAAAAATAGAGATGGAGTATGTGGCACAAAAATGCGTGAAGAAGGGAACTAATGTCAGGATCAAAGGAAGTGAGAGGGCGTGACCTGTTAGTGCTTGGACCTGAATCCTGTCCAAAGCATTCATTTGTTACCAAGTCAGAGTTTTAAAATTGTGATGAAGTACAAACTGTACTTGGTCCCTTCAGGAATGGGAACATACTGTTAATCAACAGAATATAAAAGTGTAATGCCTAGAGCCCATGCTGATTAACACCAGCAGGACTGCCACAGAAAGCAAAGGTTACTCAGTTAAATATGAAGTTCTGATAAATAACAAATCATCTTTTTTACTTTATATTTTTTTGTCTTTTTGAAGCAGGGTCTCCCTGTAGCCCCAGCTGTCCTAGAACTAACTATATAGACCAGACTGGCCTTGAACTCACAGAGATCCGCCTGCCTCTGCCTCCCAAGTACTGGGACTACAGGCGTGCAAATCATCTTTTAAGTACAGCAAATAACAAGATTGCCTGTGTGACTTAACTGGGTTTTCTGTATCATCTGCTTATCAAGCAATCATCCAGAGATGGAAAGGAGAGTGGATGACGGGGAGCTGAGCTAGCTGGTAGTTTGAGGGCTGAATAACTACATCCGGCACTACAGGAGCCAAAGTGGGAAGAGGAGCCTGTCATTTGGCTGTTCCAGGATGCTTTTTCATATAGGCCATAACTATCCAAAGCCACAGCAAAGTCAGGGAGAACAGGTTAAAGCAGTATATGATCTTCTACCTTCCAGAGCAACCTAGAGCTTTCAGGCACCAGCTGTCCTACCCCCATCTCACATCTACCCTGAGAAATACTCAGGTGTGGGAGACATTCTCTCTCAGAGTCTCCCTGAAGTTAACCACTCTCATGAGGGAAGGCACCTCATACCCTCTCTGGCTCCTCAAGCAGTTTTTCAGAAGGCTGGCTATTACTCCAGTTATGTCCATAAAGATTAATGTCAACACTCAGACAATCATTGTACCTAACAACAGAGCTCCAAAATATCATAAAGCAAAACTGACAGAATTAAAGAGAGAAACGGTTCAAATATAAGAGATGAGACCTCAACTCCCGACTCACAATCAAGGCAGAACCACTAGGCAGATTAATGGGGAACAAAAGACAGAATAAGACTGTGAACCAACTAGGCTTAACTGTCACACACAAAACACTCCTGACAACTGGTGTACATTCATCTCCCATCCTCAATAGTCTCCAGGATAGAACAGACACTATGCCATGAAACAAGCCTTAATACACAATGGAATGACTAAAATCATGCTAAGTATACTCTAAAAAACAACAGAATAGCATTAGAAATAAGCAAACGGACTGGGGAGACAGCTCAGTGGGTAAGGGTGCTTGCTGCACAAGTATGAAGACCTCAATTTGGATCACTGGCACCCATGTAAAAAGCTAGGCATAGCAGCACATGCCTGTAACTCCAGCGTCTTGGGTAGTGGAGACAAGAAGATCACTAGGGCTTGCTGGCCTAGCTCCAGGGAGAGGCCTTGTCTCAAGGGAATAAGGTGGTGCGTGATAGAGCAGGACACCAGATGTTCTCCTCTGGCCTCCACACATATAAGTGCAGATACCATATATACATATACTACATATACACAAAGAAAAGAAGAAACTTGGAAAAATGATAAAGTGTAGAATTTAAATATATTCCTAAATAATCAAAAGGACAAAGAAGAAATCACAAGTAAGAAGACAAATAACAACAAAATCAAGCAAGAAAACCTTGAGGTGACTGGAAAGACAACAAAACAAGACCATATGAGATACAGCCCATGCAGTGCTTACAGGAAAATGTAGAGCATAAATGTACATATTAAAAATAAATTTCAACTGGGCATGGTAGCACACACCTATAATCCCAGCACTTGGGAGGCAGAATCAGGAAGATCAGAAGTTTAGTCATCCTCGGCTACATAGTGAGTTGGCGCTATGGCAGGCAGATCTCTGAAATCGAGGCCAGCGTGGTCTACATAGCGAGTTCCATGTCAGCTGAGGTTACAGGGAGACCCTGTCTCAAAAAGACCCTCCCTCCCCAAATCAATCAATGAAACAATAGATCAGGAGACTTCCCTTGTTGAGAGATCGTAAACACAGTAAAAATTGCTAACCCTTACAAGTACTTGGGAGATTTACAAATAAAGTTGACTAAGAATTAAGCAAGGCTGGGAGTGGTGGGGTGAGAGGCTATTTTAGGGAAAATACATGTTTTCATTTTTCAGAGATGGAACAGCTGTTAGATAAAATAGGGGGCAACAAGACTAGAGAAATTCATTCCAGTTGGTATCAAAAACATCTCGCTGTCAACACATAATTCTTTGAAACTCATTCCTCCAAACCGAGTTGGCATGACTGGCCTGTATTAGGTTAATGTGTTTGTCTTTTTAAAATTTAATTTTATTGAGCCGGGCATGGTGGTGCACACCTTTAATCTTAGGACTCATGAGGCAGTGGCAGGCAGATCTCTCTGAGATCAAGGCCACCCTGGTCTATATAGTGAGTTCCAGGCTAGCTGAGGCTATAGGGAGACCCCGTATCAAAAGAATTTTTTATTTTATTGATGATGATGATGATGATGATAGTGGTGATGGTGGCAGGCAGATCTCTCTGAGATCAAGGCCACCCTGGTCTATATAGTGAGTTCCAGGCTAGCTGAGGCTATAGGGAGACCCCGTATCAAAAGAATTTTTTATTTTATTGATGATGATGATGATGATGATAGTGGTGATGGTGTGTGTGTGTGTGTGTGATGTGTACGCAGGCACTTGCATACCATGATGTGAGTGTGGAGGTCAGAAGACAACTTTTAGGAGTCGGTTCTCTCCTTCTACCATCATGGCTTCTGGGGATCAAACTCAGGGCATCATGCTTGTGTGGCATCTTGCAGGCCCAGTTAATATGTTCTTAATGACATAAATGTCCTAAACCAGACATATAGCAAACCAAGAATAATTCCTGCCCCTAATGCTTGGAAAAGGACAAGGCAGAATGCATTCACACTGTTGGCAGATAATTCTGGGTGCTTGGCACCTGGCTCCCATATAACGTGTCTGTCCTGACTTGGTGCTAGTAGTTCCAAGCTCTGCTGTTGTCTCAGATCTTCTTGGGCCTGAATTATAGTCCTGCCACTCACAGACTGAGTGAGCACTCTGAGCCCAAAGGGCTGGTATGTTTTAAGCAAGATAATGTTTTAAGCAAAATCCCTCGGGCATCATGGGTACTCAGTAAATAGCAGTGTGTTGCTGTTTCCATTTTCATGAAAAGAACACTCAAGAGCAGAACTCCTATCATGACAAGGTATCATTTCAGGATAACTAACCTATATTTCTTCCAGCATTGTTTCACGCTAATTTTAGGTAGTGTTAAAAATAGTTGAAGAGTCATAAAGCCTGTAATCATCAGGTTTCACCATGAGACAGTGGCTAAAGAGCTACATTTAACAGCACAGGTGATTCACCTTGGGCTGGCTTAAGTGCTTTTCATAGCACCAGCTCAGGAAGAGCTGCAATGGAGGTGGGACATTTAGGGATATGCATTTGTAGCTAATAATTAATTCTCCCTGGTTGCCTGGTGTTTTTCTTGGAAACAGGTTTCTCTTCTGGTTGGGTGCTGGGTCATAAAGCAGCATCATGGATACAGCACCACCAAACCACCCATGATGGTGGGTACTGAGTAGGGGAGGGGGAGGGGTTCTGAACAGGAGTGAAGAAATGCCTTCTGAACGTACCTTGGGAAGGAGAAAAAGTCAGATAGCTCCATACAGCACCAGCCACCTCCTTCCCTCTCTGTCCTAGAGATTTACCTGAATGCTGCAGTTCTGGAAGGGGGAGTATCCATCAAAACCTGGGACCCAGGAGACCAGGATGCTGTGTGCTGTACTGTTGTGGATATGGACTTCCGTTGGTGGGGAGGGAATTGCTATATAAAGACAAAGATACACACATGCAAACATAATTATAAACCACAGGAGACCATAAGTATCAAACAAAAGCATCAATACCATTCTTTTTTGTTTTTGTACATGTGTGTGCCAGCATGCATGCACTAGTGCATGCGAAGGCCACAGGAAAACATCAGTTTCTTCTTAAATTGCTTTTCCACTTGTGTGTGTGTGAACATGTTCATATGTGTGCACACAGAGGTCAGAGGTTGATGTCAGGTGTCTTCCTCGGTCACTGTTCACCTTATATTTTGAGACAAGGTCTCTCACTGAACCTGGAGCTCACTGATTCGCGTAGGCTGGCTGGCCGATGAGCTCTAAGGATCCACCTGTCTCCACACCCCGCCCCCAGTGCTGGTGTGCAGATGTGTATATGCCCAGCTTTTCCTGTGGGTGCTGGGATTCAGAACTTAGACACTCAAGCTTGTACAGCCAGCATTTTACTGACTGAGCCACCTCCCCAGCCCCCTACACCTTTTTTGGTACTTGAGATTAGGAATAGGGAGCACGTTTTCAAGAAGAGCCACCCTAGGCACAGGAAATGATATTAGCCTATAAGAAATCTTTCAGTGATGGCACAGATGCCTATGCCTGAGAAGTGGAAATGGATCCAGGTTTCAGCCTACTGACAAAGGGAGGTGATCTTCTAGCCAGAAAAGGATTTGGAGGCAGGCATATCCTTCACTGGGCATGTATATTTTCAACCCTACTGTGTTCTCAACCCTACTGTGTGTGGCCATAGTTCTACCATGCTGTCCTAGTTTGTTTCTCCATTGCTGTGACAAAACACTCTGACCACTACCAACTTGGGGAGGAAAGGGTTTATTTCTCTTACATCTCCCAGGTCACAGTTCATCAGGGAGCCCAAGGTAGCAACTCAGGGCAGGAACCTGGAGTCAAGAGCTGGAGTCAGGCCATGGAGGATCACTGCTTACTGGCTTGCTCCCCTGGCCCCTGCTCAGCCTGCCTTCTTAAGCAACACAGGCCTACCTGCCCAGGGGTGGCAACACCCACAGTGGGCTGGGCTCTCCCACATCACTCATCAAGAAGATGCCTCACAGACATAGCCACAGGCCAGTCTAATAGAGGCTCCCTCAACCCAGGTGTGTCAAGTTGACACTAAAGCTATCCAGCACACACGCCTTGCTGGGTGGACACAAGAAGAGGGGAGTGTCACTGTGTGTATGAGAGACAGCGAGAGCGAGAGAGCGAGAGAGCGAGAGAGCGAGAGAGCGAGAGAGCGAGAGAGCGAGAGAGAGAGAGAGAGAGAGAGAGAGAGAGAGAGAGAGAGAGGCACTAGGCAGAGAAGAGGCAGTTAAAGTCAATTGCATCTACTGGGAGAGGGGTGTATACCATGAATGTACAATGACCCAGGCTACTTGGGAGGTTGAGCTAGCTATTTCAGTTAGACTCCAAGGATCTGAAATTTGTTGAGTCTTATCTCTTTGTGCTAAACTTAATTGTTCATCATTATCACACTTAAGAAATGATGGCTGCCAGGCATGGTGACTCATACCTGTAATACCAGCAGCTTGAGAGGCAAAGGCAGGATTATCACTATGTTGTGAGTCCAGGCTAACCTGAGTTTATCTCAAAACAAGAACAAAAAGATGACTGATATCCTTGTGTGCCAGACTTTGTAAGTACTTCCTTTAATCATTACTAGAACCCTTTTAGAGGGGTAGTCTTAAATAGTGTCTAATTACAGGTGAGATAAGGAAACTGGACAGGGAAGTTAAAAACTAGAAGATCATAGAGAGGTTCTAAGCAGTGGGGGAAAAAAGGACTTGAACTTAGCTCTGCCTGTCTCCCTTACTAGGACACTGGTGTCCTCTTGTGAAGGGCAGTAAGCTGCCTGGTGTGAACTCCTGCCGGTGTACCACATAACCAGCTGCAGGACCCTGGGCACAGTCACATGCCTGCTTTAAGCACAGTTCCCTCTTCTGCAAATGGGATGATAGCTGTTACAGTGTTTCATGGAGCTGTGATGGGGGCAATGTGACAACACACAGGTATGTGGGCTGCCCTAGGTGTAGTGAGCAGGGCGATGAGGGGATGAACAGGAAATGGGGGAGAGGTGGCTGGGACCTTATCAAGTATGCAACTCATCCATGTTCGGGAATTTCAGTTTTACTACTAGACACAGCGGCTTGATGAGTGGAGACAAATCAGGGTGCTGTCCAACTCACTTCTCTAAGTAAGTTCTTTGTAGAGCCTCCCTGAATGATCTCCGTTTTGAGATCAAAATCCCACCACACACATCAAAATAATAAGAGTTTAGAAGGGAGTCTTACTTGCTCTGACATAAATTTTAAGATAAATGAAAGTCAAAAACACAAGCTTCACCTCAATATTGGGGAGATGGAGGCAGAATGGGAAGTTCAAAGTCAAGTTCAAGATCATCCTCAACTGCATATAGAATTTGTGGCCACCCTGGGATACATGAGACCCTGCCTCAAAACAAGCAAACAAAAATCCTCACATGTTGTGGAAATTGGATTGATTAAACAAAACAAAACAAAAAAATCATAGCTGAGATTCTATATGAAGCACAAAATTAAATACTTCTCATTTTATATGTTTTTAAACTTCAAGATTTTAAATGTTAGGAAAAGATCTTTATAAATTTATACACACCCATGAATTTCTGAAATTCCCAACATATCTTTTGAAAATTGTAATAATGGAATCTGAGGAAAAGGAAGGAAGTTATATATTTCCTCTGGTAGTCACTTTTGGTTTGCTTTGAAAAAAAAAGTTATTATCACAGTGAACTTTTACAAAATGCCCTCTCATAGCCTTCGTCCAGCTGATGTGCCAAAGCTGAAATCAGCACTTTTTTGATCATGACTTTCGTAGTTTTGAATTCCCCTCTCTGCATACCTAGCCTTAACTCATTAAGACATACCCTACTTTTTCCTGGCATTGTTTGATTTCCCCAAAGATAAGAGGAAAGAACTAGGAATCCAGTATTTATTTTTCAATATCTAAAGATCAAATAGTAAAACATATACTTGAGTTTCTATGTGAGTAAAAACATGGTAAGAATAAGAAAAAGATGATAAGAATAAGTCTTTGTAGGTTTTTTCCTTTTCCTTCAAGTTTTGGGTTTAAATACTTTTGATGATACAGGAGGAAGAGGACGAGGTAGATGGACTGGAATGTCTCCATTAATTCCTGCGTTTGATTCTGTTACTGTCAATCAACTGTCCGGCAAGATCAGATATAGTGAAATGGAAGCAAGAGGGAGCAAGAGGGGAGGAAGGCCGGCAGGAGTTGGGTCCCCACAGGGGTTGGACCCCACAGGACAGTTACTCCCACTTGCTGTCTGATGCATCTGGCAAAGCCAGCAAGGCCAGAGCCCACTCTCCACATCAATGTCCATGGCCAGGCTACCCCAGGCCTCTTCAAGGTTAAAGAGACAAGGTAGAAGTGGAAAAAGTGAAAATGGAAGCTAATGGGATCAAAAGTAAACATCTATTCTGTCTTGTAGGAAGAAGAACTAAATTAGCTGAGGTTTATCAAAAACTTACATGCCAGGGACTGTTGTATCGTTAAGCCTCAAAAATAGGAAGGTTTTATAATTATCCCTATTTTTTTTTAAAAAAGAGCATCGACATCAAAGAAATGAAAGGGATTTGTTCAAAGCCACAAAGAAAGTGAGTGGACAAGCCAGGCCTCATGCCTGGGCAGTTGGTGGCCCTTACCCTGTGCCCCTCTCTACCTCTCAGGGCAAACTGGCCGGCCCTGGCTTTCCTGCTCACCTTTGATGTTGATCTGCACACCCTTGGACACAGTCAGCCCTTTATCATTGTGGGCCTCACAGCTGAAGACTGCTGTCTCGGACAGACCTGGAATAGAAGGACACATGTGAGACTTAGAGCAGATAAACAGCTTGCTCCACACTAGAAATCTGTGGCTTTGCAGACTTTAATATCTTAGTTCATGGCTTCAGGCAAAAAATCCAAAGTTAATCTAAAAGGTATGAAAACTATAGAAAAACAAACCTGAGGCCTGGGGTGGTGGTGCACTCCTTTAGTCCCAGCACTCTGCCTTTAATCCCAGCATTCCTAGGCTGAGGCAGGTGGATCTCTGGCAGGCAGAAGATCTCTGTGAGTTCAAGGCCAGCCTGGTCTACATAGCGAGTTCCAGGCCAGCTGGGGCTACAGGGAGCCCCTGTCTCAAAAATATATTAAAAAAAAAAAAGAAAGAAAAAGAAGAAGAAAATAAAGACCCAAGAAGTTCGTACTACAGGTACCCAGAGCAAGGCAGCCCTGACCCAGAAACAGCTGTTTTCATTCACTCAGTTCCTGAATGACAGAACATTGGCAACGAAGCACTAATGTTTGGATTTTAAATTACTGAACTGAGATATGAGACTTGCTGGCCCCAACTCTAAGAAAAGCAGTTCTGATGCACATCAAATCCCCTTTGCTTAGTTCCCACAGAACATCGTACTAAGTGACAGTTCAGAATACCAGAAATAACAAGATAAAAACCACAGGTTTTTAAATTTTCAGATGGTCTGTTGGGATGAATCCTTTTTAAATAGATAATTAATAACAATAAAAAAGATCCATTCACAAGGAATTATTAAAACACAAGGTATTATAAGTAACTGAGGAGAAGACAGTGTTAAATGAAGTTGTTTTGTTGTTGTTACTGTTTTTCATTTCAGGTCTAAAATCTTAGAAATAAAAATACAAATTTATTAACTTTAAATAGAAATGTTATCTCCATCTTTGTCCCTAATACCATTCTCTAACAAAAGACATCAGGACTCAGGAGAAGTGATGGACTGTCGGATCAAGACAGGAAAGATCCAAGAAGAGCTTGAGTGAAGAATAACACAAATACAACGTGCAACACATGAACACATGCAGACAATGATCAGGCTTGTCAAGGAGACACGGGGCTGACTGAAATGGTTCCCAATGGCCAAAGCTGGGAACAATTAAAGAAGAAAGTGAAGTAGCATTGAATTATAATCTAAAGTATGTGATGAATTTTCAAGTCTATATTGATAAAAGCAATAAAGTAAATAAATGGAGGATTAGAGACTGGTCTTCCACAAGGAAGAATTCCAATAGTCTATGTGGATACTCCTTCCTTGAGGAAGTGGATAAAGCCTGACTCCCCAGTCCTTCAGTGGAGGCTGCACACAGCACACAGCAGGGAAGGTGAGGAGGGAAATGTTAGGATGGACACACTGACAAAGCCTACCTCCACCAGGTGGGTCAAGGTTCACGCCAACAGCAGCTAGTCATGCTGAAAGAATGCACCCTTGGACTGCTGTGATGAGAAGGGTACTTCCCCTTGGTGATCTTTCTCGTGAAGCATAAAACCCCAGTCTATTCATATGAAAAATATCAGACAGGTCCAAGTTGTTGTTCTATAAAACACCTGACCAGCAATCCTCAAAGCTGTCAAGGCCAACAAAAATGAAGAAAGTTTGATCAAGAATTGCCTAATGACACATATATGGACTACTAAGTAGAGTGTGGTGCCGTGGATGGAATTCTAGGACAGAAAAGGGACAGGAGTTAAAAATCTAAGAAAATCTAAACTTTAGCTAACAAGAATGTATCAGAATTGGACCATAAATTATAGCCAATTTATGACATTAATGTAAGATATTAATAATAAGGGAAAGTAGGGGTAGGATTTGAGATTCTTTGTTCTAGCTTCATAGTTTTTCTTTACTTTTTTATTATTCTTTTATCTATATGTGCAAGTGCTAGAGGTGTGTACATGCCATTGTGCATGTGTGGAGGTCAGAGGACAACTGTCAGGAATCAATGCTCTCCTTCTACCTTGTTGAGAAAGGGTCTCTTCTGTTTCTGTCACTGTACAGCATACTCCAAGCTAGCAAGCCCACAAGCTTCTGGGAAATTCTCCCATCTGTCTCTTATGTCACTCTGGGAGTGCTGGAGTTACAGGCTCAGGCCACCACATTCATTTTGTGGGTTCTGGGAATCGAACTTGGGTCATTAGACTTGTGATGCTAGTGCTTTTTATCTGCTGAGCCATCTCCCTAGCCCCAGCTCCATAGTTTAAATCTAAAATTATCTTAGAATTTACAAGTTTGTTTTTTTTTTAACATACCTATGTATCTGTTTAGTTGATCTAGAAATTTCTGTATCTCTGGGATACAAAAGTATATCCAGAACACAGTAGAACCATCATGAAGTAAAGATGCTTTTTTGAAAATCTGTCATCACCTGCTTCTTACCTTTAGTCTACTGCATAAAGAATTTTCCACTCTGATATTTTAAAATTCAAAGCTTGTCACGAATGGACTGATTAGATACTTGAAAAATGAAAGTGGGGAAAAACTGTCCACGGGAAAGGTAGCAGGCACAGGCCCTCAAGTGCTGTCCCACATTGATGCTTGCATGGCCAGTAACTGTATCAGGTCCACAGACATTGATCACTACATGGCAGGGTTGTGTTGGGAGAAGTTGTAGAAATGAACATAAATCTCTCTCTCTCTCTCTCTCTCTCTCTCTCTCTCTGTCTCTCTCTCTCCCTCTCCTCTCCTCTCCCTCTCTTCTTCCTCTCTCTCTCTCTCTCCCTCTCCTTTTCTCTATCCCCCTCCCCTTCTGCTCCAGCTCTCTCCTTCCCCCTTTGGGTAAGAACTTAT